AGAGTACAGTCCCCAGATGTGTAGTAGTTATGCTTAGGTGGCATTGGATGGCCATTTTGTAGACACTTTCCAAAGCTGTAGGTTTTGGTTCGCGCCCTGGGTCCGGAGGCCATGAGGAGGAAACCAAGCCAATCAAGCAGAACAAGAGCAAAGGCCGGCGCGATGCATATGTGTGAATGCCTTTACAAAACCAAAACAATGTTCATACTTACAAAATGACTTGTCCTAGCTTTTACCGAACAATTTTTTTTGTCTTGAAACAATTGCCACCTGTTCAAATCCTAGAAGTTTCATGAAGTTTCCACCCTGAACAAATTTTATCATCTGGGGCTTTTAAAACAGCCTCATTTTTTGAACATTTTTGGTTCATCAAGGGGGGGGTCCACGAAGCATCCTCAAAGCATTGCCAGGGAAAGGGTGGTTACAAAGAGTACAGTCCCAGATGTGTAGTAGTTATGCTTAGGTGGCATTGGGTGGCCATTTTGTAGAAGTATTGCGCATGTAAAGGATTGCTACAAGGATTCGTGACCCAAAGATTTGAATCTTTTTTGATCCTGTGCAATTGCTGTAACATGTTTGCTGGTTCATTTTGTAGTGCTTGCGGTTGGTTGAATTCATTATATAGAGAATCCAGTTCCTCGTTTTTTAATATTGATCCGAGGTTTCAAGCAGGAGAAGAAGGAGAAGAAGGAGAAAGAAAAAAAGGACAAAGCTAAACAAAAGAAAGACAAGGTAGAGGTAGAGGAGGAAGGGAAAGACAAGAAAGACAAAAAAGAAAAGGGCCAGAAGAAGGAGAAGGAACAGACTAGCAATGGCAAAGAGAAAAAGGAAAAGGAGAAGCCGAAACAGGGAGATGATGCAGGAGCACACTTTACAAGCAGTCTTGTTTCGTCGTCTCTTTTTTTTGCGCCCTGGAAGCATTTGCCAGCTTTGGCCGAGACATGCGCCTGTTTGGTTCTGTTTGTACTAGTAGCCGCACCCATGTGGCGACAGTCTAAAGATCTAGTTGTCCCGAACCAGCAGGAGACGGAGGCGCGCGCTCCCAGCAGATTATGGACAAGCTTGCCCTTTGACTGCGCATGTTTCGGACCTGTTACGTTTCCTTGCTAGGATGAACGTAGGTTGTAGTGACTTGGCCCATTGAGGCAAACTACATCGAAGACATGTCGATGGATGGTAGCTACTTGGGCCTTCTAGATCTCTACTTCTTAGCTCGGGCTCGTGGGAAGGAGATCTTTTTGCTTTGCCACATTGATGGTGAAGAAGACATTGCTGCAGAGAGCCTTCACAGCATTTTGCAACGGTCTTCCACCGTAAACATTCCTCAAACGACAAAGATCGAAATGACCGACGCCGATGCATGGTTCCTTGTCCACTGCAGTGCATCATGGGAGCCAGCAACTCAAGACCACATGTTGAACCATTTCGTGCCTGCTTGGAGCAAGTCTAACGTTCCAGAACCTGATTGGGAGCTTTGCAGAGCAGCTCGAGATGCAGCCTTGATCGACCTGAAGACTGAAGCTTCATGGGAGCTTATGGGTGTCATGGAAGAAGGCCCTGCTGTATCAGAAGAGCAGAAGATCAACATCTTGTCCGCGCAACAAGCGTCAGAGCAGATTGAGCGTGAGCAGCAGGCCTTCCGATACTTTGCCCAGCAAGGTGTCATTATCGGACATGCCCCAGCAGATGGCAATTGTGCACTGTGGTCCATCATGAGTTTAGAAAATGGCCTCCCGACCGACAAGGATGGCTTTGATGCGAAATCCGAGGTGGGGACGCACATGTTGCGCCAGGAAACTCAGCTGAAAACATGAAAACATATCTATTTTTTACCGAGGGTGAGGTTGTGGAGACTCATTTTGTAGATAATGTTCCTTTTATATCCTGTTAATTCCTTTTATGTCCATTATATATATTTATACATCCCTTCGTATCCGGTGCTCCTGGTCATTTTGTAATGAACTAGTGTTTGTCAGGAATTATGCCGCTTGTGGAAGCTTGCTAGCAAGAAGCCTTTGTACCAGCAGCTTTTTATGGAAATCTCCGATCCTGGGGATGAGGAGGGGCAGCACTCTGGCGCCGAAAACAGAACGCCAGATCGAAGGAAGAGAGACCTAGACAGTGAGGGGGAGGCAGCCCTTGCAACACCTGTGAAGCAAAGCAAGAAGTCATCTGCTTGCGCGCCAGCAGAGTTTGGCAAGCCTTTGCAGAAGGATCTGAAAATCAGATGTCCCGGGAGCCAATCGGTGGAAAAAGCAGATGCAGACCTGGAAATCGTTCCGGACGATGGCTCCTTGGGGTACAGCTTGGAAAAAGCCACAGCAATAGCGCGGTCCAAGCACAAACGTTCCTGCAGGAAGCTGGTGCAGAGCGAGAGCATGCTGCGGAATGCAGTGGTGAAGAAGTACTTGGTTTACACAGGCCTCACATGGCCTAGGTTCCAGAAGGAGCACCGGAGGCGTTCAGGGAGAAACTATTTTGTATTATTTTGTATCAGTACAGAATGAGCTGAGCCTTACAAAGGGGGGTGGCAAAGGATATATAATATTCAAAATAGATCAAAAGTTTAAGAATAAGCCATTGTAAACTCATTTCGATGACTGCTTCTGTTTGTGCTCCATGACTCCATGGACATTGCAGGCAAAGCACTATGGTGAAGGCATGGAAATGCTCTGTTGGTGGATTCGTGACCTTGAGAAACAAGCTGATCCTCGGATCGCATCAGGCTGGTGCCTGTGCCAGCTGCGATCACCTGCTGGAGGCAGTGGGTTTTGACGCTTCGGCTTTGGAAGCAGGTGTGGAAGAAGCCTTAAGCAAAGGCTCAGCCAACGGAGTGTTTGAGGCTGAGAGACCTGATGATGGCCCGCAAGCAGCGCTAGCGCCACCTGATGTAGAAAATCAAGAAAAAACAGAAGTTGCAGAAGACACTTCAGGACCTTTGCCCTTCCTCGCAGCATATGGCACAGTCTTCACAGCATTGAATCCAGGCGATCTTGGCAAGAGGGCTCCGGTACGTTGCAATCTTTGCAAGAGCCGTGCCTTTCCTGACGGGAAGGTCATTGATCTCTGCAGATACGACAACAAGGCTGTCGCTTTGCATTTTTTGCAACAGCACTGCCAGTCAGCCAAGCATCAGCGTGCTTTGAGAGATGGTGACGAGGCTGGCCCTGGAGATGATCCAGACAAAGAAGAGGAAGCCTACCCATGCACAGGCTACAAGGTGGACGGTAAGGGCTATGGATGTCTCCAGGAAGTGGTTGAAGATTTCCAGCTTTGGGCCTCTTTCACGAATCTACCCGCATTTGGCAAGCACAAATATTGGCAGGACAAGGGGTAACTCTTACAGAATGGCAGGTCAATGGCATTCAATTTATGTACTGTTGATTTAAAAAACAAAAATATATAAAACACACTTGAATACAGTACAAAATACATATATATATATACATATATACAAATAGATCTCGCCTGTTGGCTCTGCTAGGGCAAGGGGGGTGGCTGAGTACTTTCAGCCACTAATTTTGTAGGCCTTTCATTTTGCCATCATTTTGTAGACACCTTCTTTGTCCAAGTTTGTTTACTCAAGTGCCAGGATGCTTCGAGTGGCGTGTGGTACATCAGATCGCAGACCTGCCGCAAGACCACCAAGTTCGGAAAAGAGGGAGAAGCTCTTTGTACGGAGTGTGCTTCAATGGGCAGCGGACACGGTGTCATGAGGAATGTAACCAGGTTCGTCGTGAAGTACTTCGCTGCCCAGCTCCTAAGCGCACGGCTGTTCCAGGGTTCCGAAAAAGCAATCGCTTTTGTGGAAGACTTCAAGAAGAGCACGATGTACCAGAGAGATAGGGCGAGCTTTGACCAACTTATGCAACTCAGAAACGGTCACTTGCAGCAATACGTTCGGGCTTCATGGCTGACCTTGCCAGAGACTCAGATGGTCAAGGTGTACCGTGACTTTGTGGATGCCACTATCCGTCCGTGCCTCCGCTGCAACATTGATTCAGTGGGAGACGGCATGAGCGATGTCATCGCTCGCTTCAGTGCTTGCATTGCAAGTGGGGTAGCATCAGATGTGGAAGTCAAGCAAATGAAGTTGGCATCAGCAGCCATCAGCGGTACTCTGGAAAGTCACCCACTGGTTTCAGGATTAGCCTTGCAATGCCTTCGTTTGATTGACAAAAATGAACGCGGCATCTTCCACATGGGCGGCCGCCGCTCCTTGGAGTCAGAGCATGAGAAGGAAGTCATCAGAGATGCAGGCATGCAACTTGCACTCAATGCTTGCAACAGGAATCTCGCAAAGCAGTTTGGAATTCCTAAGTGGAAGATGTTGTTCGATGAGCTCTTGGCCAAGTCACTCCCCACACCCATGCTGGCATTGAAGTGGCCAGAGGTGCTGAAAGAGAATGCTTCTTTGCTGGACCAAAGGTTTCCTGCGCGGAAAAGCCGACGTTACTTGGCTTTTGCGCTCTACTGCTAATCTTTGTACTTTGGTCCTTCGACAATTCATTTTGTAGCATATTTAAAAACATATACAAACACAGCAATTTAATGCAATTTATATATCACAGAGTGAGATCCCCCATGCTTGGTCCTTCGAAAGACACTATCATTTAAGTCTGTAACATGACTCTAGGACCCTCATTTTGTAGAGAGCGGCCCCTTTTGAACCGTTTTGTAGTCGTCTCGAATCTAATGAATTGTGTCGTTGTTATTTGGAGCGGTGTTTTTTAATAGAGAGGCTCAACTGTTCATCATAATTTATCACTGTTGGCTATTTTTTTAATAGTCATATATAAAACACACCGGTGCCAATCATTTTATAAAGCGTTTATCCTTGGCCAGCCATTTTATAAGTAACATTTCTCTATATAATGCCCGGTAAACCCCGGTAAGTGATTCCAATGTTTGTTTTGGAGGTTGTCTTGAGTCAAATTGTGTCCGGTTCACGGTCCATGGCGGCCAGCACAGGTCGGCTCATGCTGGCCTTTGACAGCACGTACTTGACAGCACGTACTTGACGCCGACGTTGGCGCAAGTCCAATTGCACGGAAAGATGGCTCTATGTGGTGGCTCATGGGATCCCCACAACCCGATCTATGACTTTATTGACATGGAGGACGAGAGCTTCAATCTTCGTGATGTTGTGAAGGCCAATGTGATGTATGACTTTGTGGTTTGGGATCCTATGGCAGTCCACAAGCACGCTTTGTCTGCAGCAGCAATTCCGATCAAGCAGGCGTGCGGCCCCACAGGTGGTGGAGAGACTGGAAATTGGAATGCTGTTCACATGGTGGGCGAGTTCATGGAGGCTGCTGGTGATATTGTGAAATGTCTGACCTTCGATGCGTACGGCACGCATCTCTATGCACGGCGCTTGCTACTTGGTCAGGTTGAAGGCATGAATGAGGATGTGATCAAAGACATCCCATGGTTCCGAGAGCTTCTCTATACACCCCTTCCACCGCACAAGCTGCCAAGGCTACCGCTGCAGTTGTGCCAGCACAGACAGGATCACATTTGGTGCATGGCTGGTCCATGTGACTTGACAAATCCTTGATCATTTCCTCTCCTTCCAGATCATATTTTGCAATTCCTTTACAAAAAGGGATGTCAAAGGTTTGGTTAGATGGGATGGTGTAGTTTTTTCAATAGCGGCGCAGAGTGGAACGACTATTTTGTAAGGTCTTTTTGATTTTTTTGGCGTAGAGAGGGATTTGTTCAAGTTTTCTCTGAGGTCACGCACACAAGAACTCGGCAGGGCAATTGCAGAGCTGTTTGAGGGTCCTCTACTATGGAGATTTTTGGGCAGATGTTTCTGGCACTTCCTCGCACGGAATGCCGCCGGCAGCTCTGTCTCGCGTGGAGGCAATGAGCGACCACATGAACGCAATCATCTACAATCCTTTTTTCTTGGTTGATTCCATTGACTGCCGTGCTGCTCACAGCCAAGTTCCATGGTCCTTGCAGGGGGCCACCATCCACAATGTAGTGATTGCCATGTGCATTGCGCCATCTGTGCACAAAGAAATGTCGTTGATGCACCGTTGCGAAGTGAGCCTAACAGGTTTCATTGCCCTTGACCTGTTTCGCCTCCTGTCAGACCGCAAGTGCGCTGCTTGGGGCCTGCCAAAGGGTATCTTCGACTTCCTTCAACAGATTTCGATATATATATATATATATTTTTTTTTATTAATATTATACGTTTTGTATTTATTTTAATATATTCTGGTCAAGTGTTTGGATATCTCTGGGTGACTGTGTGTGGTCATTTTGTAGTCTGTGGGAGTGCAAACCTTTTTTATATGTTTGTGGAATTGTAAGTTTGTTTTTGATGCTGTTCGCGTCCGATTGCTGTTTATATTTAGGTAGCTTATTTTCAGCTGCCCAGACATGCACGAACTTGCAAGCAGTCGCTTTGGGCACCATCAGCATTTGCCTAACGAAGCCTGTGTGGTTCTCTCCGTGGAAGAGGGGCTCATGCCGGCTCGCGGAGATATCGATTGAACAATTCTTTTCCTATCTCCGCCGGCAATCGCAGAACAGCCAGCTCACATGCAGGGCCTACTGGCATGCTTCTGCTCGCTACTCCTTGCACACGTCCCAAGCCATGAACAGAGAGCTTGCCGCCGATACTTGCTTTCTCTTTCAATAGTTTACTTTGATGCATTTTGTAGTCTGGTTTGTTTTGTAAAGACTGTTTGGGCTTGGCTTTCTGACCGCAAGTTGAATTTACGAATTGATACAAATCCTGTAGGAACAATCTGCTCCGGTGCATGAAGAGAAGAAGCTCTCTGATTTGGAGTACCCTGGCTCTGCAAAGGAACACTGTTGATATTCACAAACGAATCGCATGGCCATTTTGTAAGGACATATTTGTTGCAAACCCTTTCTATATGTTGAGCTCATTCTGTAATAATGCGACATCTGTTGCCCTGACTCACCAATATGGTTGAGATATGCTTGTGGTTGACCGGTCATTTTGTAGTGGATTGACGTTTGTCAGGTTTCAACTGTGCTGCGAGAAGGCCTTGGAATCGGCGCTTCGGCTTGCTGCATTTTGTAGCAAGGAGTCGATGGAATCTTTGGAGGCAACATATCGCAAGGTGTGTGAAAGCAATGGAGATATTTGCGACCTCAACACCCTCACGCTTGATGATGATGAGGTGGGGCCTGGCGATGAGGACAGCGCTGGGCCAGATTTGTGTGCGGAATTGCTGAGCCAGATCCCTGTGGACAGCAGCTTTGTGGCAGACAATAAAAAGGCCGATGATTCTATGGGAAATGATGAGGCTACAGAAGACGTACAGGTGGACTTGAGCAACTTACCAGACCAGGAGCAGATGAAGACATTGATTTTCAAAGAAAATGTGCTAGAGCCATTCCGCATGGAGACTTCCCGCAGCCCGAACAGCAAGGTGGACTTGGACCATTTACCGGAAACTCTTGATGAGGCTCTCCGGATGAAGGGAGACACCTTCAACTCTCTGTGGCGGCTAGCTGTCCGATTGAGATCAGCGCGCGGCGGGTGCGACACCTCCTTCTTGTCAAACCCGAAGAGTTTTCGGAAAGCAAGCAAGGGATTGAATTGGCACCAGTACCTTGTCATTATGTAGAAACCAAGCAAGAACATACCATTTTGTATATATATAGTTCAAAAAAAGCTTTTATACACTACCCGAACCAAACGTGTACTGTAACTGGTCTGAACCCCAAAGGGTTCACAAGGATTGATTGCATTTTGTAGGGTTGAGTCATGCCATTTGCATTTTGATGCATTTTGTAGCGATTTCTTTTCCAAGATGACTCTCTATGGTTCTGGCAGGTACAATGAGCATGTCATTGCGTCTCTCAACTTGGAAAAGCTCGATCCAGTCTACCGCGCACGGGCCTCGAGGCTTGACAAGTGGCGGGAGCTGTCGGAGAGGGCGCGCAAGGAGCTTTTGTTACCTGAGGCTCCCCCTGAGAGGCTCATGTTCCTTGCACTGCAGTATGTTCAATCAATTTCTCATAATTTACAAATGATTTTCATAGATGTCCTGGGGCTAAAGGCCCTTCATTTTGTAGTTGATCCCGGATATCATATCCATATTGATGCCCTTGCTGTCCTAGGCCTGGCAATGTGATCCTCTTCCATGTGCCTCAGACCAGCGAGGTGGACATTGGCATGGTGATCACTGTGTGGAAGGGGGTCAAAAAGCCCAAGGTACACCCCGGTGAGGTGCCAATCAACAGTGTGGCAGCCTTCCGTGCCGTTGTCATGGAGATGGTGGACACAGAGGACGCCACTCGTTGGAGGTGCCATGCCCGTTCGATTTGCACAGTGGTTCGCCCGCAAGCTTTGGTTGCCATTCTTGATGTGGAAAAGTGTCTCTTGTCTATGCTTAACTCAATAAAGTCCAGTGCACGTGCATTTTGTAAGGGTTTGATTTTTTTTTGAGCTGTTTATATTTGTTTGGTTAAAGGATTGTGGTGAGTTGCGCGATCTTAAATCCAATGACCAACTCATTTTGTAAGGCATTCTTTCAAGTGTAGTACATTTTGTAGAATGTCCTGTGTGAAGTGTCCATTTTGTAGCAGTTTTGAATTATGTATTCGATGTTTATGTGGCACACTCCTTCATTTAGGCCTTCACCCACTGACTGGCTGCAACTGGCTGGAGGTCATCCTGACGTCCACGTCAGCTGATGCTTTGGCGAAGGTGGAGGATTTGGAGACATGGACTGTACCTCCAACCATGGTTCGTGGATCCAAGGCAGCATCAGTGGCGAAAGCAAAAGCCAAAGCGGCTCCCAAGGTCCGCGCGACGATCAGCAAGGCAAAGGCCAATAGCCTTTTGAAACCAAAGTTCAACATGGACGTTGACGCCCCAGAAGAGGAAGAGCTGCCATATCGCAGAACAAAGCTCGGGCGTGAACAGATTTCTGCGGCTTTGATGGCGGTTCGCAAGAAGGATTGGGAGAGGTTTCCATCCAACCCGGTTTTTGGAGCCAACGGAGAATGCCGGATGAAGTTTGACGGTGCCCAGTCCTTGACCGTGGACAAGATGTGCAAGAACGGAGGAATCTACATGGAAGCTTTGTACCGGCATCTCCGAAAACCTCAAGCCTACAGCTCGGCCGTTTCCCAGGTCTTTGACGCCATGATGAAGCAGCTCGACCGCAATCCACCTTCAAGGCAGTCATTCCTGAGGATTACCAAAGACATTGGGGAATTCATCGCTTGCCACAAAGAGGCCGATGATTGATGTGGTCAGTGAGGCGGAAAAAAAAGCCCGTGACCTGTTTTCCATGCAGTTTCCAGATGGAAACTTGTTCATAGCGTTCGAAGTGACATCGAGATGTCCAAAGCTGACTTGTTCAGGATTTGGGGGAATGACCCTGGATGAGTTGAGCGAAGAAAAGATTGGACGACATATAGTTGCCGCACTCATTTTGTAGCAGAATCTACCCGATTTTTTTGAGAGGTTCTGAGAAGGCGGGCGCCCATTTTGTAGTAGAATTTCTCTATCTCTGATGCGGGCCAACCCCGTGGTCAGGAGGCCATTTTGTAAGGCTCCATTTCCTTTGCCACCCCCTTTTTGTAAGGCTTAGCTCATTCTATACTACAACATGGGTCTGCACGACCCCACCGCCTAAACGGTCACGGGGATGGATTTGACTGATGATGCCATTTTGGCTCAAGATTGGGACCCTGGTTTGTTCTTTTGGCGCCGTCCATCCCCCGATTCTCACGAGCGAGCTCGTGCGGCTTGAAGATTGGGGGCGAGATGTTGGCGGCGTGACAACTGACTAGGGGCGGGACCCATCGTATTTGTCCATCGAAGCGCATTCGGGCTCTTGTGCGCCTGCGCCGCGTTTGTTGAGGTGTCTGGTCGCGGCGACACCCCGACGTGCCAGCGGACTTCTGCCGCTCTTGCAGCACATGGACTATGAGCTGGTGCGAGGCCTGCTGCAAGCGAGACCCGGGCGGCTTTTCTGCGCTGCCTGTGCGCGTCTTGTGACGCGGCGCACCAAGTCCGTGACCGGTGTGCGGCGCAGGGGTTATATAACTTGGTATGGCCTCGAGGTCTATGCGAGGCATCGGCCATTGACACACAAGTCACGGGGCTTGGAAGGGCCGCGCTAATCAAGTGCATGCGTGCACCTGCGCAGCACTGAGTCATGATCACCCACGAGGGGTCCCTGTTGGAGCTGCTTATGGTTCGGCTGAACCCCTCCTGGACGTGCACAAACGCCTGCAAGACTCAAGACCAAAAGGCCGCCACAGTTGACGCAGCTTGTCACGAGACCTTTCCGGGTCCAGTTAGTTCAGCCATGCGCAGTGGGTGGCGAGGGCTGCGTAGAAAAAACTCACGGCGCGCACCGATAACACCGTTGGCGCAATTCCCGTGGGGGTGATTGCAGAAAATCCATCACCGGCAGATTCGGGTCTTGGAAGTTTGTGGTGCTTGACGGCGCCATGGCAACGGTCGATCGGTCGATCGTCCACCTCACCCGAATGAGGGTGCGCCCGGCGCCCAAGTTTTGAGTTCTAGTCCCCAGCGGAGGTGGGCTGCAGCTGGTTATGAAGTCACGCCCTGTGCTGCACGCGTCGAATGGAGGAGAAGGGGGAACACCTTGCTTGAGAAGCGCCTGCCACAAAGAGGCCTGGGGCCCTTGCAGATCTCGTCGTCTACAGTCAACGCACAAAGTGGAACGTATATGGGCAAGCGCCAATCGACTGCGGCTGATCATCTGTGGCAAGACGAAGGATTTGGGCCCATAGGCGCAATTTTTCCAAAACTCAGTATGCAGTTTGAGTTTGGGTTGCGCCGAATCAGCTCCAGGACACGCCGTCTGGACATTGGACATCTTCTAATCCAGCGCCGCAGGGGTGTGCCCCGTGACAGGGTTGCATCTCTACAACCTCCATGCAGCTAGCCTTGCATTGACCCAAGTGGCCGAAGTAAGCAAGTTCAATTTACTCTGAATGGCTTAGGTGCTCGCCGGTCTGGGTGGACGGTGCTTCGTGTGGCTGGGTTCACAAACGCCGCACTGTCGCATATATCCAGCTAGTCTGTATGTTCCAGTCCAGTGTTATGTTAAAGGTTTTAAGCGTAGAGACAGGCAAGGGCTGAGACTTGGTGCCCTTACTAGGAGTGCAAAGTTATACTACTCACCAGTGACTTAGGATTTGTCGGTGGCATGCGAAAACTGAATACCCTATCTTTTGAAGACCAATGTCTTTTTGACCAGCTTTTGGTCCACAACTCCCATCTCATGAAGCCTAGCGTGCAAGGCAAAGCAGGAACGCTTTTGAGGTATTTTTTGAGCTAAAACGGTGCGCCCAGGGTGTGTGTGGCCGGATGCCAACCAGTCCATGTCCTAGCATGTCCTTGGATGTCTGTGCATGGTTAAATTATGGTTGTTTAGGCGTGTGGCCGCACGACATGAGATTATGGCAGGGGTTCTTCCTAACTCATCTTGTGCAAACATGTGTTTTTTTCAGAAATGGTGTTTCTCTGTGGCAAATTGTGCACTTGTTCTTTTTTTGTGGGGTTAGCCGTATCAAACCTGGTGTCTTTGGAGATGTGCACGCAGCATGAGTTGGGACTTGTTGGCATTCTGCGGTATGTTACTCCTGTCTCATCATGGAACATCTGACTGTTCTGAAATGGCGGGGTTCCATTTAGCCTCGTGAGTTAGTATTCTTGCTGGACAACTGTTAACACCTTGGATACTCAAAGTCCTAACTCACCAGCAGGTAGTATTTACAAAGAACGGGGGGCGCTAACTTTGCTTGTGTTTGTGCTTGCTCCTTTGTGTAACTGGGGTCATTCATGTCAAACATGCGCCCCGCAGGCGGTACAGCGGACAAGCAAAGTAAAAGTTTGGCTGTGAACTTGCAGGCGCCTGAGATTGTGGTGTCCAGGACTGTAGATGAATTGTGCAAACACCATGTGTCAGCGCCAGACCGGCTCAGATGACTAAGGCTCCCGGAGGTTACCTGCTGTGAAGGTGCGCCGAGCCACGCTTTCAGCAAAGAGTGGAGGTCCTTTTGTGTACAAATATTTACACATATCATATACCGATAATTGTTGATAATTTCCTGAAAGCATGAACGGTGTTCACAACCCTTTTTCCCTCCCTTTGTCTTCCACAACCGCTGCCAGGTTGCCTTCTTTGTTTTCAGCCTTCACGGTTGTTCTGCCTTCACTTTTCCTGCCTTTGTTATCTCAAACCTTTACTTTGTCCAGCTGCTGTGCCATGACAGAGGGAGGTTCAACCTCAACTTTGATTTTGTGATGTTCTATTTTGTACCAATTTGATCTTTGATCAAGGACATTCTGAGGCATGCATAGCCCTGTCCTTGACTTGAGGACTGTTTGCATTTACTAACCTTGCTGTTTTGCATCATTCACAGTGTTTCGCTACTAGGTTCCTTGTGGAACCGATTGAACACATGATTCCAAGATTGGACGTGAAAACCCAATCCAATCCGGAGGGACATTTATGTGGCTGTAAGAGCAATGGGGGATTGTTGGCCGCCGGCAATAATACGACTTGGGGCATTTGGAATGGACGTGGAGAATGGGTTGGTGGCTCCTGACTTGGTGGTGTCCCGGCCCAAACACAACTCCACGACTCTGTTTTGCTCGCTCGCCGCTTGCAGTCTTGAACTTCATGACCTCTTGGTGTAAAAACCGTTTAGTGATCCGCTCCTGTGACGACCCTGTGCATGATGCCGTGTGGTTTACTCGAAAACTCAAGTTTTTGTGCGTTGCCTTGCTTTGATGTATGATGACAAGAAGCTGTTCATGTGCATGGTGGCGCATGATTTTATTGAAGTCAACTCTCTGCGAGTCTGAAACTTTTCTCGTAAGCTTCCTTTGATTTCTTTTGGAAGGAACCAGATCGTAGTATAGTATCCTTGTCGTGGCAGGCGTGTCACTGGTATTTGCACAGCTGCCGCGGCTGCTCTGAAACGGTGCTTCCTGGATGTGGTTGACACCAATCAACCTACGTATGTGCACAATGTAGCATGCGCGATCCCTTTCGCTTAAAAAAATCAAGTGTGTGTTGTTTCATGCATCCCGATTGGTGCGGGCAAGCTGGGTACTGCAGGGCCAGATTCCATCGTTTTGAGATTTGAGCCTAGTGACAAGTGAGGCTCAAGTTGTTGTTTCCGGTCCTGTCAAGCCAGTTTGGAAACCATGTCAACAGCATGTTACCGCAAGCAGTCATTTGAACCTTGGTATGGGCGTAGACCCAGCCAAATCAGCCTTTGAACTGCACTTTGGTACTGAAGTTGGATCAACAGTGGAATGGATTGAACTGGCGCGAGGGGTTTGTTGCGCCCCCACAGGATCCAGACCTCAGTGCCATTTGCATAGGTGTCCAAATGTTTGTCCGTCCTCCTTTAAAGTGTGAAGTAGTATTTGATAGCCTGGCCATAAACTGCTCATTTTTCACAGACCACCTCAGCAAAACAGTCTGTAGGTATTGGCTACGACTTAATCTAGCAAAAACCACACGAACATAGGAGTTTGTCAACCTGAGGATGACAGGATGGCGAACATGTAGTTTTCTTGAAAGAGAGAGTTCTGGCCAGGGTAATAATCTATCCAAGTTCAAGAACTTTTTATTGAATCCCCACAGAGCAGACTGCAGAGCAGCCACAGAGGATGATTTTCCGGAGCTGTGGAGCAGGTGCCAAACCACAAATTTGCATGTGTTTGAAGACATATATACAACTGTTTGTTGATCTGGCACCCTTTTGCCCTGCAGATGCAATCTATATATACAGGCCGCCTGAAATTGAGAAAGTCTCGTTCTACTGCTACGCACACAGGGTTGAAATATGTTGAAGACTTCAGTGACAAAGGAGATGCGTGCCTATTTCCCTCGTTTATTCCAGAACTTGATTTTCTCTCGTTTTGCCACCACTACTTGCATTATGACAAGAGTGTGGCATGAGTAATTTGACATTGAAAAATTTGGTTGTGGAAATCTTGCACATTGTCCGCAGGCAATCGTGACCAGAATTAACATTCGTTCAACCATGGGAAGGCCAAACTCAACATGTAACGTTCCATTGTTTCGAAGTTCAGCAAATCCCATGGCCTTTCCACTCTTTTCTATTTATCTCTTGGGCTGTGGTTTGTTTGGTGGCACTCTAAAGGGAATTGACTTTGAATGTTTACACCTACCCTATCATTCAGACAGCTTGTGGTCACTGCCGGCATTGTTCATTTTGTTTTTCGCCTGGCATGCGGCATGTGGCCATCACAACGCCTGTGGATTTTCCGATATCTTACAATTCGGAATATCTGCAGCTTGGTCACGGTGCCTCAGTGCTTTTGAAGTATGGCAGGATACTGTGGAGGAGCTTGTCAATGTCATCAATCCGCTTTCAACAGTGATGGCCTCCAACCTACTAGCGGTGGCCTCCCACCTTTTAAGAGTTGAAACCACAATGGTCATAAAAGGACGTGATGAGAAAGTTGAGGGTTAAGAGAGCTCAGATGAGAACCACAAGGACTCTGCATGCAGACGGGTGATGAGTGTGATGAGTGTGATGAGTGTACATGCAAAAACGTATAGCCAGGGCAGGGTGCTCATAGGTCATTGGCTGGCTTCATGCTAACCTGCTAACCCAAGGTAAGGGAACTTGGGGTTGAAAAAGACATGGGCAAGGCCTTTTTGGGCTCGCTGTTCATATTCAAGAGTGCTGCGCAGTCTTTAAAACCCCATTGGCAGGTCTCCACCTGGTATGCACTGGGTTGCTTCGGGATTGCATTTCCATTCGTGAATGGAATCTGGGGTTTCAAGACCGATCTAAATATGGGTGTTCCACGTGGTTGGGTGTGTGTGTGTGTGTGGCGGCTAGTAGTGGAAAGAATCACACGTTACAGCACATGATATAAGCCCCCATAGACCATCTCACGCATCCACCACATCGCCACATTGCACTTCTGCACGCGCCGCATCAGCACATCACCGCGCACCACAACAGAACACTTCCTAAAGTCTTACCTCTTCTGAAGCTTCCGTCTAGGTCATTTGGTGCAATCAATGCAATCGATTCTATTGCGAAGCAATGAAATAACCATGATTTGTGCATTGACCTAGTCTCTTTTTGACCCCCCGGAATTAGCAAGGAACTCGGCGGTCCGTGCTGCCAAATTCCAATCTCTTGTTCTCTGAGTTCCTACGAAGCCTACGAAGCTGACAGGTTGGAGTCAAAACCCACACATTAAACTATGCGTTGGTTTCTCAAAATAAGGGATTGCCAACTCCTAGTCACTTGTTTCAATGTCTTTCCCACCAAGTCAGCATGGCTTGGTTGTTATTGCAGCACACAAGTAGGGATAACACAGAGCTCCACACTGACTGCCCAGATCTCATAGAGATTGTCTGGAGACTGGTCTCAAGAAAAGCTTGAGCGACGTTCAGCACATTCGTTGGGCGCCACCGTTTGGTCAAAAGTGCCTGTGAGAGCCGAGCAAGAGCTGTGAGAGTTGCAGAGCCGCAAGCCGCGCTGAGAATTCACCCCAAGGCTTGCAGCCTCCAACAATTTTCCGTGGCTCATCAGCAACGTGACCGACAAGGCACTTCTTCACTGCGGGGAGAACGGCTGGGTTGTCAGGTCGAGGGTAAAGACTCTGGAAGTCTCAGGGAGGGAATGCAAAACAATTTGAATATCTCGGAGTGGGTGAAGCACTTTTGGGAGACATTCTTGGGACATTCTTGGAGAGATACTCTTGTACAGACACCCTTGTAAAGACATTCTTTGTTGGACACTCTTGAAAGACACTCTTGTAAAGAAACTCTTGCAAAGACACTCTTGCAGGACATTCTTGGAGAGACACTCTTGTAGCCACACTCTTGTACAGACACTCTTGTGAAGAAAGTCTTATGAGACACTCCCGTGGAGACATTCTGGTCGGGACACCTTTGCTAGAGACTCTTGAAAAGACACTCTTGTACAGACGCCGAGCGTACACTTGCAGGCCAATTTTTTGGGACACTTGCTTGAAAATAGCCACAATTGATCACAGTTGAAGGGCTTTTTTTTTTCACCGCTAGTACTTGTACACATGACCCAATACCGCATGCCTGTGGCTCAAGAAAAAAGGTGCACCATCTTGGCTGTGACCTGTTTGAAAGAGGTTATCAGCTGTAGGACTCTTTCTTCTTGCCCCTTGTTGCTTGTTCGTTCCACGTGTGCCTTCGCCATGGCAGGCTTCGGGACCCCGGCAACTATAGACATTTCGTCTGACCGGGATCAGATGTCCACACGTGAGGAAACGCCAGAGGTTGCAAGCCCCACTGCACTTGTCCCTATGGATTCTGGGTACATGGACACGCCATTGTGGCCTGACATTCCCCTGTAGAATACCTACCTCCTTGGACAAAGCCAACTCACATAAATTGAGACATTTTCTGCTTCAAACTCATGCTCGCAAAGATTTACTCATAACCTCAAAAATTTACCCATAACCTAAATTGGATTTACTGAGCTGGATTTACTATTACATTTACGTAAATCTTTACGTACATTTTCGTTAGTAAAGGAAAGCATATACGTACATTTTTCCCCAAACAGCTTCCTGTTGGGGTTCTATCTTAGAAAGAAAAGAGCTGGCCACACTCACTGGCCGCGCCCCTGAACTCTGTGGCTGGGGTGTGTGGCTGGGCCTTGTCCTCCTCTTGTCCTCCTGTTGGCCGCGCCCCTGAACTGTGTCAACTCCGTGGCTGGGCTCTGTGGCTGGGCCTTGTCCTCCTCTTGGCCGCGCCC